ATGCCGGGGCCTCGGGCGGGAAACACCCTCAATGCCGGGGCCTCGGGGCGGGAAACACCCTCAATGCCGGGGCCTCGGGGCGGGAAACACCCCCAGTGCCGGGGCCTCGGGGCGGGAAACACCCCCAGTGCCGGGGCCTCGGGGCGGGAAACACCCCCAGTGCCGGGGCCTCGGGCGGGAAACACCCCAACACCCCCAGTGCCGGGGCCTCGGGCGGGAAACTCAGGTCTTCAAGCAGCCGCAGCGCCTGTGCCTCATGAGCAAGGGGAGCCGGACGCTTAGCCCTCAGGATGTCCAGGGCAGGCGGGGTGGCGGCCAGAGGCTGTGGGGGCGGCCGGTCCACTGGGAGGCCAAGCACCCAGCTCAGGACACGAACGCTTCCGAGTGGAACAGGCCCAGCCGGCTGCGCCCCCCGATGCAGGCGAGAAACAGGCCCAAGTCCTGGGCCCACGCAGGGTCTCAGGTTTGCCCGGAGACGGCGAGGCGTCCTAGGACAGCCTGGGAAGCCCGTGCTGACAGCGAGGGTCCCCCCTCACCCACCCTACCCCCGGCAGGGCCTCCTGGCCTGGGGCTCCTGGAGACGTGTGTGCAGAGCAGGGGCCGTGGGGGCTGGACTGGGGCCTGCGGCTGACCCCTCTGCCCCCCATCCTTGTAAATCAGGGTCCCCTTTGAGGCAGAGGCGCCTAATTGACTTAAAGGCCAGGAGCCCCAACACCATCTTAGGATCCATGTGCCCACCAAGCTCTCCAGCTCCCTGGCTTGGCTCCCTCTACTGCCCCCTGGTGTCCGGCAGGGGCACTGTGCCGAGCCCTCAGGGTTCAAGGCATGGGAGGCCTCTGAGTGTCCCTGGGTGGACAGTGCCTGTGGGTCCCCGTTCCCCGCGCCTCGATGACAGTCCTCGGCTTCCCATGGGGGGCCCTCGGGCATGGAGCCGCTCGCCAGTCAAGCTGGACGGCCGCGGGGTTCCCATGAATTCTGCTCCCATCCTTGTCACTGTCCCCAGTAACACACCCGTTCGCGTTGGACGTCCCAAGTCACGCCCCCAGCTGTCGCCTGTCCAGCCCGTCGCTGGGTCTCTGGACAGACTGGGGTCCCGTCAGACGTGGACACGGGCTGGAGAGAGGACGTCCTCCCGGGTCAGGCCCCTGCAGGTCCCGCCGCAGAGGCACCCCCAGTGTGTGCTGGGTGTCGCACCGGGAATGGCGGCTTGTTCGTTCTCCGGTCGGCGCTGCCGAGTTGAACGGTTGTCTGTGTCGCTTTATAGGCGGCTCGCGCCTGTGACTTGGCGGCCCCCGGCCACGTGCCTGTTGGCCCCGCTAACCTGTCGGCACTTTCAGCTCCTCCATAGCAACAGCCCAGCCCTGGAGCCAGGGCGGTCAGCGTCTCCCCGACACGCACACACGCACATGCACACACACACCCCGCTCCCCACTTCTTGTTTCTGGCCCCACGAGCTCTGCTGGGGTGGGGGTGCCAGACATGGATTCTTGGTGGTGCAGGGAATTCGTTCACTTGCCCACAGTGTCCCCTGGGCCTTACCCGGGGCCTGTCCGGGGGTCCCTCGGAGCAGACAGAGCCCGCGCCCCCCAGTGGGGAAGCTGTCAGGCCACGGAGAGCCCCAGGAACCCCGCGGGAGGAACAGCAGGACCGCGGAGGGAAGGCCCGCAGCGCCTGGTAGACTGGGCCGCTGGCTCCCCCTCCACTCGCGTGGACTTGAGGCAGCTCACATCGTCGCGCCCTTGCTGTCCGGCCCCCCAGAATTTCCATCCCACAGACACGCCGACTGGGCACGCCTTCCGCTGCCATCGAGGCAATCTGGCCTCACCCAGAGGCGCGGACGCATTTTCTGGCGTGAAGCCGTCCTGGCGTCTGAATCCAATCCAATCCCCACGGCTCAACTTCGTTATTTTAAAAATATTTTTGTTTGAGGAGCTAACGTTTTTACTGGGGGTTTTGCGTACAAAGGGCCTGCGATTCCCTTTCCTTGCACCGCCCTGCACGCCTGGCTTAGGACCGGCGGACACGGCCGGCCTTGGGGCGGGCAGGTGCGGAGGGAGCAGGGTACCCGCTGCTTTCGCTCCGTTCTGGGTGAAGGGCTGTGTCTCTACCTGCGCACGGCTGTACCTGGCGTTTGTATGCCCCCAGACACCCCCGTGTCTGTTTCCAGTTCTCGGGACACAGTTCTTCACGTTCCTTCTTCAGTTTCGTATCTCCTATTGGGTCTGCTGTTAATTTTCTTTCTGTACATTTTTCCTTGCTTTACATTTAAAAGATCAACGACCGCCCTAACCAGTTTGGCTCAGTGGATAGAACGTCAGCCTGCGGACTGAAGGGTCCCAGGTTCGATTCCTGTCAAGGGCATGTACCTTAGTTGCGGGCACATCCCCAGTAGGAGGGTGTGCAGGAGGCAGCTGATCGATGTTTCTAACTCTCTATCCTTCTCCCTTCCTCTCTGTAAAAAATCAATAAAATATATAAAAAAATAAAAGTTCAACATTCTTGCTAGAGTTATTTTTTCTTTCTTTCTTATTCGTCTTCGGAGAGATTTTGATTTTGGTAAATGTTCCTTGATGCTTTTCTGAGTGTAAAGTCCATGTGCGCATGTAAACGTGTGTGCACATGAATGTAACATGTAACTATCAGCGTAGAGCGTGTGCTAACGCTTTTGCAAAGGCCACCATTGCTATGTCCTCTTGCTTAACGGCTCGGGTTCTGTAAGGAAGCCGCCGGTTAGAGCTATTCCCACCTGTCACGCCGCCGTTGCTGAGCCCGAGCCTGTGGCGTTTACAGTCACTCACGGTGCTTTCAGCTGGAACGTTAGAACTGCTCCGTCCTGAGCCTCACCACGGGCGGCGTGTCCATGCGACTAGAGCGCCTTCCGGGGCAACGCTGTGGCCTGGTGCTCGCCGCGCCCGGGGAATCGCTGTGCGTGGCGCTCGCCGCGCCCGGGGAATCGCTGTGCGTGGCGCTCGCCGCGCCCGGGGAATCGCTGTGCGTGGCGCTCGCCGCGCCCGGGGAATCGCTGTGCATGGCGCTCGCCGCGCCCGGGACCTGCTCTGGGTCATTCTTCTGCGTATTTCCCTCTTTCCCGCCTCCCAGGTGGTGTGGACGGTAAACACCCTTCGCCTCCTTCCAACCTGTCCCCACCCGGGTTTACGCCTCCTCCTCCTGGGGGGGGGGGCGGGGGAGGGGGCACACGCCCCTCTCGGGCGGGACATCCGAGTCTCAGTTGCTGATTCTCTCACTAGGTTGTTTGGAGAGTGCGACTGGCCCATGGCCCATGCACTCACGTGCACACACACACACGTGCACACACGCACGTCCACACACACCCGCCTTCCTCCAGGCACCCTGCGGCACAGACTCCCTCAGGCGGCCGCCCAGAGCAGCGTGGGCCGGTGGGCCGTGCTGCGGGAGGTGGTTTACAGGACGTCAAATTCAAGTTTCAGATTTCCTCCTCCAACACTGAACACAGTATCTGCGTCTCTCTGCTTGGAGTGTCTGTTGCTGCGTCTGAAGCCCCTCGGGTGCCGGCCCTTTTCCGGGCATTCAGCATGTTCCCCGGCGCCGGTGCCCCACGCGCGTTGGGTCGTGTCCATCTTGCTGGTGTTTGGGGCGCGGGGGGAGGCCGTCTGCGTTTTGGCCTGAGAACTTGTCCACTGCACTTCCACAGTGGTTTTCTCTCTTTCTCAACTAGAGGCCCGGTGCACGGACTCGTGGGGGTGGGGTCCCTCGGCCTGGCCGACAATCAGGGTCCATCAGAGCCGCGGGAGGTTGGCTGTGGGAGCGCACTGACCACCAGGGGGCAGCTCCTGCATTGGGCGTCTGCCCCCTGGTGGTCAGTGCGCGTCATAGCGACCAGTCAACGGGTTGCTTAGGCTTTTATATATAGAGATTAGATGGACAGCAACCCTTCCTTATCCACTTCTGTTCTCTCTCTCTCTGCCTGCCGGCTGCGTGCTGGGAACCTTCCTGGCTGGGAAGCCCCCGCTGGCTGTGTCTGTGCTGCCGCCCTGACTCAGTCTCCCTGGTGGTTCCCCTTTAACTGCCTCCGTCGCCCCTCTCCTCCCGGGTAATCAAGTCACGTGTTTACTTGAGTCCCAGGACAGGCTCATTAACTGGGCTTCCTCGCTCTCCGCTGTTCACTGCTTGTCTGTTAAGGGGCAGGGCTTCCCAGAACCTACCTCCGTACTCTGCCCCGTGAGCCCTGTGCCCTCAGGGGTGGGGCTGTGGGAGGGGAGGGGGCAGGGCTGCAGCTCAGCCGTGTCTGGTGGGACAATCTGGGTCCAACCCTCTCTGCGGCACCCCGCCCCGCAATGATCGCTCCTCACCGCTGTCTCTGGCCTGAGGCTAGGAGGGCAGGAGTAGGGATAGGTGGGCCCCATGCTGCCCCCGCACCACCCTGGGTCTCAGGTGCCTGGGCTGTGGGCTCCTCTGGCAGCCCCTGGGAACCAGGGTCAACCCCAGCTTTCCTTGTGGGCACCCCATCGCTAGGGTGGAGCAGGGGCCGAGTGGGCCAGGTCCCCGGGGGCCTCCCTGGTCAGGGGAGGCTCCTGTCGGAGGCCGATCGTGCCCGCGCCCCCGGCGCCCGCACAGAGCAGCACACACACAGGCCTTGGGAAGCGCGCTCCTTTCTTAGCTTCCTGGGTTTCACAAGGTGCCAGAGCCCACGGCCGGGGGGGCCCCCCAACCCCGCAGTTCTGAGTCCTGGCCTCCGGGGGCAGCAGGATCCAGGCGCCCTCCAGCACCCAGGCTGCAGCGGGCACGCCCACGGCCCATAAATACCATCATATAAATACGCCGCGACCTCCCAGGCCACGGCCGCGCTGCGCAGTCCCGGGCGTAGCACCAGAGAGCCTGCTTGGAGGGCAGGCCCGCGCCCGCCTGCACCTGCAGCGGCCCCTCCTGCCGTCCCCCCCAGGGGCGGGCGGGGCCTCCTCAGCCAGGCCAGTCCGCTTGCTCCAGAGCTGCCCAGTGGAGCCGCCTGCAGGCCAGGCCTGTGCAGGTCCCTGCAGAGGCTGCCGTGTCCACAGCCCGCGGAAGCAAGAAGGGCTCGGGCGCAGTCCTGGCCACAGCTCCCTCCGAGAGCTCTCCAGGCCCTGGGTGCTGTCGGCCGCACCGGGAGGCGGCACGCGGCTGCGCTAGCGCTCCTCTGCCCCGCGGCGGAGCCCGGGCGCTGGTCTGTGCGGGGCGGCCTGTGAGGACGCTGCAGGGACAGGAGCAAGGGGGTCAGTGCCCGGCGGGGACGTCGTGCTCCCCCTGCTCGCCCACTCAGCCTCTCCTCCCCGCCGCCACCAGGCTGTTCTCTGAGGTTCAGTCCCACCCGTGCCCACACCCTCCCTCTGCTGAGGCACCAGCGACGCAGCAAACGCCACCAGCCCCTTACCTGGGCCTGGGGCTGGGGACGGGATCCCAGGGAGCTGGGGGGGCCCACCTGAAGGCAGACAGACACCCTCATGTTAGTGCCCCACCCCTGGGTGGGCACTGGTGAGGGAAACCCAGGCCTGCAGAGCCCCCCCTAGGCAAACAGCGGGGCCTCTCCCCCTCCTCACCCCCAATGAGTGTTCCCGGCCCGGCCCTGTCCAGGTAGCATGGAGGGTTGGGCGACGGGACTTCAGGCTGGATGGGGGGAGGGAAATTTCACCCCAGAACTAGCCAGGTCCCATCCAAAGCAGGGGCCCCCGAGGCCCTGCCAGTCCATCTTCCCAAGGGGCCTCAGGCAGGCAGCACCCCCCACCCCCCACCTCAAATGTCAAGGCTCCCTGGCCCTCTGGTGCAGTACCACGTCTGACCACCAGGTGCCGCCACAGCCAACATTATGTTCTGAGCACCAGACTGGCAAGGTTGGCGCCACACCCCAGGCCTGGCACCACGTGGTAGGAGCCCGCCCTTGCCCACATCTGGGGCTGCTTGGGGCTGCCAGCATGCCAAGCCCTGCTCCTAGGTCCAGGGCTGCAAGGTTACACTTTGCCCATCGGAAGCCATGGGAACCCCAGACCACCAGGACCGTCAGCACTGCATGGGGAGGGGCGGGCCTGGGCCAGGGCGGGGCTGGGGCACAGGGCCGCCGGACTCACCCTGGCGGCACGTGGGCCCGGTGTAGCCGTCCACACAGTGACACTGGCCGCTGACAGGGTCGCAGCCGGCCCCACCCCCGCAGTCACAGCGCAGGGCACAGCCCGGCCCGAAGAAGCCGGCTCTGCAGTCTGCAGGGGGAGGCGGAGCGCTGAGCCGGGAGCCACCTGCCGCCCCGGCCCGGCCCCCTCTGGGTGGGGTCCTGAGGGCAAACCCTCTGCTGTTTCCTGGCCCCGTGGGCTCTCCCGTGGGAAAGCACCGGGTACCAGCCCGTGTCCGGACCCACAGCGCCAGGTCCTTCCCTGTCCAGGGCTGGCAGGGGGGGCCTGGCAGTCACAATGCACCCACAGCAAGACCACAAACAGGGCGCCCTTCCTATCCCGGCCGTGGGGGCAGGCCAGGGTCTCCTCCCACCTCCCCGGGCAGAGGTCACCCGGAAACCTGTAGGTGGCCTGAGGACAGGGTGTGGCCCTGACAGTGGACCCTGCGGGAGCTGGGAGCAGAGGGTACCCCCCGAGCCCACCGGCACGACACAGGCAGGGCCGGACCAAGGTCCTGGTCCAGGAACCCACACCTGTGCCCCACCGGTGGGACTGCAGACTCACCGAGGTCACAGGTGGCCCCCGTGCGGCCGGGGGGGCACAGGCAGTGGCCGGTGACAGGGTCGCAGGCGGCCCCACCCTCACAGCCGCACCGCTGACCGCAGGCCTCTCCAAAGGAGCCCAGCTCACACCCTGGCGGGGGCAGGGCAGTGACTCAGCTCTCCTCCCGTCCCACACCCGACTGGGCGGGCAGGGGCGCGGTAGGGGGGCGCTCACCCTTCTCGCAGGACTGGCCGTGGAAGCCAGCGGGACACAGACACTGGCCGCTGACAGGGTGGCAGGGCGCTCCATGCTGGCACCTGCACACCCCCTGGCAGCCACGCCCATGGAAGCCAGGGGGACAGGCTGAGGGAGACCGGGTGAGAGTTCCTGCCTCAGTTTACCCGAGTGAGCAAAGGACTGGGTTCAGGGGTCTGGGCTCCCCCTGCTGCCCATCGAGGCCTGGCTTCCCCCCCACACACGGGGGGCTCAGGGGGGAGTTCACAGGCTCCGATATGACCCCAGTAGCCTGGGGTTAGGCCCAGTCTCCTAGGCCCCCCGAGCCCAGGTGAGCCCAGACCCCCGCACAGGCGGGAAGCGGGGTGCCGGGCCAGGGCCCCCAGCACTCACGGTGCTCACAGGCCTGGCCGTAGAAGCCGGGGCCGCAGTGGCAGGCGCCCATGGTGGGCTCGCAGGTGCCGTTGTTGAGGCAGGAGCACTCCAGGCTGCAGGCGGCGCCGTAGCGCCCCGCGGGGCAGGCTGCGGAGAGCAGCAGGTTGGCCTCAGGCACTGGCCCGACTCAGGGGACCCGGGAGCCGACCCTCAGCCCACGCCGGACCCGCCGCCCGGCCGCCGGGCACTCACCCAGCTCGCAGTGCGAGCCCGTCCAGCCCAGGCCGCAGGAGCAGCTGCCGTTGGCGGGGTGGCACAGGCCGCCGTGCTGGCAGGCGCACCGGTGCTCACAGCTCGCGCCAAACCGGTGCTGGGGACACTCTAGAGACAGAGGCCGGACGCCATTGGAGCTCCAGCCCAGGCTGGACACGCTGGAGACCCGTCCCCACCAGGCCCGACATCCACTCAACCATTTCCCAGGACCCCTCGGGCCCAGCCTGCGCCGGGCACACGTGTCGGGGAGGGACCCCAGTCGTGTCCTGCCCCTCCGTCCACCCTTTCAGGCCTGACCCAGAGCTGAGGTCACTCAGGGGAAGGGGCGTAGGGTCAGGGAGCCTCCGGGAGGTGGCGGCACTCTGCTCCTCATCTGATCGGTCCGCGGCTGCCCTGCTTCTCTGGGGGTGAGGACAAGGCCCAGCTGAGCCAGGTCTGGGGCTGCTGGCCTTCTGCTGCCACCGGCTGAGAACCGGGGGGGAGAGGGGGGGGCGGGGGGGCGGCACCAGCCCTTCTGAGGACCAGAGGGTGGCAGGGCTGGGGCCTGCCAGGGGCTCTGGGCATGGCTGTGGGACCTGCATGCCATCGGGGGTGTGAGCCCCACGACTGTCCCCAGGGCCACCCCATTTCTCCCCCACGGCCTGTGCTCCACGCCTCCCTCTCCCGGGGCCCAGCCCCTGGGCCTGCAGAAAGCACCAGAGGACCCCACTCCCAGGGGGCGTCGGCCGGAGGCTGCTCCATCCTCAACTCAACAGCCACCTGGCCCGCCTGCTGCGGGACTAGAGGGACCCTGTTCGGCCCCCACGGGACACAGGGCGTGGACCGGTAACCTGATGGCCCGAGCCGGGCCACGGTCAAGGGAAGGCCTCGGGTGGTGTTGGGCGGCCCACTGACCCGTGGGGCACTGGGCGGGAGGCGGGGTTCTACAGAGGCCACAGGCCTGAACGCGCCAGGGGCTCCCGCTCCGCCCGTGGCTGCGCAGTGACCCTGGGCGCCCCGGCAGCAGGCGAGGGCACCCACCGAGCTCACAGTGGGCGCCGGTCCTCCCTGGGGGGCAGGTGCAGGTGCCGGTCGCAGGGTCGCAGGTCGCCCCCGGCCCACAGCTGCAGACGTGGGCGCAGCCAGCGCCAAATCGGCCTGGTGGACAGGCTGCGGGAGGAAGGGGGAGGTGGCCGACCCCCTCTCTCCGCCGTGTGGGGACGGGGGGGGTGGGGGGGTGCAGGGCGGAGTCTCCATCCACATGCGGCCCAGACAGAGGGGAGACTGCCTGCTCCGTGCTCCTCTGCGCCCCCATCCGGCTCGGGCACCTCCCAGCCCCGAAGGTGCTGCTGGGGCCCAGCCCGCTCTGCAGCGACAGTGACTCACTGCCCCCCCTCCAAGCCCAGCCGGCACCCCAGACAGATCCCAGACGGCACCCCAGACGGACCCCAGCTGGGTGGAGAGTCCCCGCGTGCCTGAGGGGAAGGCCCTGTTCTCGGCAGGATGCCCGCTGGGCTCTGTGCGCCACCCTGGTGGGCATGACGGGGGTGGTGCACACAGCACGCAGCCTGCAGGGACTCCCCAGCTCCCCCAGCCTGGGGCTGAGGGGAGGGCCAGGGAGGCAGGTGGGCAGGGCGCTGTCATCCCTATAAACTGGGGGGCCCCGCCCACCGAAGTGCAGGAGGAGCCCCCGCCTTCCCCCTGCCACTCACTGAGGCTGCAGTCGGGCCCCAGGAAGCCCAGGGGGCAGCGGCAGGTGCCCGTGGCCGCGTCGCAGGAGCCGCCGTTGAGACATCCACACAGGTGCTCACAGCCGGACCCAAAGCGCCCGGGGGGGCACCCTGCAGGGGTGGGAGGCGGCTGCCAGGGATGAGGGGCTGGGCCTCCCACAGCAGAGCCCCCCGCGTCCCCGCCCTCCACCCCTGCCAGCCCCGGCCCAGCTCGGTCCCAGCCGAGCCCGCAGCCGGGCCCGTGGAGGCCCGAGGCGCACACGCAGGCCCCGGAGGCCGGGTGGCAGGTCTGGTTCTCGCCGGGACACTGGCACTTGAGCCCACAGTTCTCCCCGAAGGTGCCGGGCGGGCAGGCTGGGGAGCAGACATCCTCCCATCACCCCGTGGCCCCTCTTGGCAGGAGATTTGGGGGCCGGGCTCAGGGGGACATGTGGCCTGAGCTTCAGGAGGGACCCGCTCGGTCACCTACTCTGCTCACAGCCCGGCCCAGCGGTGCCCGGGGGGCAGCGGCACTCCCCGGTGACGTGGTGGCAGGCGGCATCCGGCGGGCACTGGCAGCGCAGGGCACAGGCCTCTCCGAACCATCCGGGCGGGCAGGCTGCGGGAGGCACGGGCTGGGTGGGGAGCCCAGGGCCAGCGCCAGCCTGGAGGGCTCATGGGTGATAGGCCACCCTGGTGCTGGCAGGGCTGGGGGCTCCCCACTGTCACAGCACGGGCCCCTCCATCCCGGGGGGCAGAGGCAGGCCCCGGTGACGTGGTGGCAGGTGGCGCCCTGCCGGCAGGCACAGCGCTGCCCAAAGCGAGGCCCGAACGTGCCCCGGGCACAGGCTGCGGGATGACAGCGGAGGGCTGGGCCCCAGGGGACGGCAGCTCGGACACAGACCCGCCCGACGGGACGGCTGACTGCCCGGCTGAGGGCCGCCCTGCACCGGCCCAGCCCAGCCCACTTACGGCTCTGACACGTGTCCCCCGTCCAGCCCGCGGGGCAGAGGCAGCCGCCCGTGTCCAGGTCACAGAGGCCGCCGTGGAGGCATCCGCAGCTGCGCTGGCACCCGGCTCCAAAACGCCCGGGGAGGCACTCTGTGGGCGGGCACAGGTGAGGGCCCGCCTCCTGGGGCCGGGCTATGACCCTGGGCTGCCCCTTGTCCCCACCCCTACCCCCCACCCCTCACCCCCCATGGCTCTGCACCCGGAGCCTCAGATCCCGCCCCCAGGAAGGACAGGTGAGCTGGTCACGCTGCAGGCCCAGGCCACACGCCAGGTGCTGCCCCCCCGCCCCCCCAGCAGGAAGCTTTGGCCACAGAGGGCGGGGCTGCACAGGGGCCCGTTGGGGTGCCAGCCCAGCTCCCGCAGAGCCCAGGGCCCCTCGTCCCTCCTCTGCCCACCGGGGCTCACCCTGCTCGCAGGCCGGGCCGGCCCAGCCCTCCGCGCAGGTGCAGTTGCCCGAGACAGGGTGGCAGGTGCCCCCGTTGCGGCAGAGGCAGGCGTGCTGGCAGTTCTCGCCGAACAGGCCCGCGGGGCAGGCTGGGGAGAGGGCAGCGCGTGCAGCACCCACAGGCAGGCCTCAGGGCGGCCCCCTCCCCCCAGAAGGCCCGGCCGAGCTGCCACAGGGAGGTCTCTGCCCCCGCCCACCACTGTTCCTAGTTCAACCTGCCCCCGGCCCGCTGCCTGCCCTCCCCTCCCCCCTGCTCACCACCCAGCTGTGGTGGCTCAGCACTGCAGGGTGTGGCCCTGGGTCCTGAGCGCCTCCTTCCTCCCCTCGTTCCCCCGGGTGCCAGGGCCCCAGCCACCGCTGCTGCCCTCAGGTGAGCCTGGCACCCACCCAGGAGCAGGGAGCACAACCCGGACCCCAGACTTACCCTGCAGGCAGCTGGGACCCGTCCAGCCAGGGCCACAGCGGCACTGCCCATGCACTGGGTCACAGGAAGCCCCGTTGAAGCAGGAGCAGGCCTGGCTGCAGTTGTGCCCGTAGGTGAGGGCTGGGCAGGCTGCAGGAGAGGGCAGTCAGGGGCCTGGGCAGACAGACCCTGAGAGGAGCAGCTGGGCCCCGGGGCCGCAGTGGCCGCCGTACCCCTCTCTGGCCTGGGCATCACTCAGGGGAACCACAAACAGGGGCCCCCATGATGGTCTTCCTGGGCAGGCGGTGTGCCGGGGTGGCCACTTGGCAGCTCCGGACAGCCAGGCCAGGCCCCGGGAGCGGGTCTGGCACCGTGACCGCCCCCCGCCCCCTATACCACCCAGGCTGGCAGGCCTCACGCACTCTGGGCGCAGCGGGGGCCCTGGCGGCCAGCGGGGCAGAGGCAGGAGCCGTTCACAGCGTCACAGGGCACCCCGGCCGCGCAGTCACAGGCGCGACGGCAGTCCAGTCCGAAGAAGCCGGCCGGGCAGGCTGCAGGAGGGGGAGGGAGAGTGGAGGGGGGGTGCCGTGATGGGAAGCCGGCCAGGTCACCAGGCCCGTCCACACGCCTGGCCGCCCGGCCCCGGCCCCGCCCCGCTCACCTCGCTCACAGAAGGTCCCCCTCCAGCCCGCGGGGCAGGTGCAGGCCCCACTGACGTGGTCACAAGCGCCCCCGTGCTCACACTGGCAGCGCCGCCCACAGCCCGGCCCGAAGTGGCCCTGGGGACACCCTGGGAGACAGAGCCCCACCCGCCATCAGCTGGGTGACAGTGAGCCCCCCCACCCCATCCTGCCTGGGCCTCTGCCATCCCAGCGGCCCCAGGACAAGGGTTTGGGGCTGGCTAACGGAGAAGCCCCTCCCTGCCCCAGGGCACCGAGCTCACCCCATGCCCCTGCCCTTCCTGGCCCAGGGCACCGGGCTCACCCCATGCCCCTCCCTGCCCAGGCAGGACCTGAGCCCCAGACGAGGCCTTTGGGGCTACTTGTAGGAAGACCTGCCCAGGCCCCGCTCACAGCCACCACCTCAGCCCCAGGGGCAGGCGCCATTCTTAGCAGCCACACGCCCCCCTCCAGGCGCCCCTGGGCTGGCAGGCGCCTCAGCTCCCTGCTGCCCCAGGTGAGCCTGCTGCTGGGCCCTGGAGGTGGGAGGCGGGGGCTCGGGCTGGCAGGGGAGCTGGTGAGTTCAGGGGAGCAGAACCCCTGCTCTTCTGGGGACAAGAGGGCAGGGCCAGGTTCCCCAACACTTGCATGTGTGCATCTGTTACATGGCGTGCATGCATGCACATGTGTGCATGTGTCTGTGCATGCTGGTGCATGCTTGTGCACATGCGGGTATGTATACATTATGTGGGGTGTGTACATGTGTGTCTGTGCATGGGGGAACATGTGTGTGGGTGTGTATACATGTGTGTGACATGTATGTGTGTGTGCATGGGGTGCACATGTGGGTATGTATACATTGTGTGGGGCATGTACATGTGGGGTGCATGTGTGCAGGTGTGTACGTGTGTGTGCATGGGTGCATATGTGTGGGTGTGTGTACGTGTGTGGGACGTGTCTGTGTGCATGAGGGGCGGGCAGGACTCACGCTGCTCGCATCGCGGGCCCCTGTAGCCGGCCTCGCACACACACAGGCCGCTGACGGCGTCGCAGCTCCCGCGGCCGGCACTGCAGTTGCAGGTGTGGCTGCAGTCGGGGCCCCAGTGCCCGCTGTCACAGGCTGCAACAGAGCCCCGTCACCAGCCGGGCCCAGCAGTGCCCGCGGGCACCACGGCGGGAGGGGGGCTGCTGGGCCTGTGGAGGCCTCTCCTGGGGAGGGATGCCAGACAGCGGCCGCCTACCTCTCTGGCAGCTGAGGCCGGTCCACCCAGGGGCACAGCTGCAATGTCCCGTCGCCGGGTGGCAGTGTCCGTCGTTGGCACAAGAGCACTTCATGTGGCAGCCGGGCCCAAACCAGCCTGCGGGGCACGCTGAGGGAGGGGGAGGGGGAGTGTGGGAAGCCGCAGGGGGGGAGGGGGAAGGGGGAGAGAGGGGAGCCGCAGGGGGGGAGGGGGAGGGGGAGTGTGGGAAGCCGCAGGGGGGGAGGGGGAGTGTGGGGAGCCGCTGAGGGAGGGGGAGGAGGAGGGAGGGGAGCCGCGGGTCTCCGGGGGGGCTGAGGTCCGCGGGGGCACTCACCATCCTGGCAGCGGCTGCCCGTGTAGCCGGGGCGGCACCGGCAGGCTCCGGTGTCGGGCTCGCAGGCAGCGCCGTGCTCACACGCCGGGCAGATCTCCTGGCAGCCGAGCCCCCAGCGGCCCTCGGGACAGTCTAGCCCCCGTGCCCCCACCATGGTGCGTCAGTCTCCCCGGCTCAGCACCACACCCCCAACGTGCACAGGAGGGGGACTCCCGGCCCCTCCCTGGCTGCAGGGTGCAGACTACGGGGTGCTGTCACCCAAGAGGAGCCCCGCCCCAGGGGGCCCGTCCGGGCCAGGAGACCCCCAGGGAGTAGCGGCCTGGAGGGCGGCCCACAGCCCCTCGGGGAGGGCGGGGCTCTGGGGCCCCTCTGCTGGCGCAGCCGTCAGGGCAGCACAGACCCGGCCCCCAGGCCGCAGGGTGGCCCAGTGTGGGCTCCCAGAGCCTCTGTGGCCGGGCCTGGGGTCAGGGCTCCCGAGCACAGCCCAGGGCTGGGGTCTGCGAACACGGCCTGGGGCGGCCCCCTCCCCCAGTGGTCCAGCCCAGGGAAACGAGGGGGCACAGGCGTGCCTGCCACTCACCTGCCCCACAGTCATCCCCCGTCCGCCCGGGGGGGCACAGGCACTGCCCCGTGACCCCATCACAGGGGGCCCCCCCGCACGAGCAGGATCCTGAGCAGTTCACGCCGAATGTCCCCGCCAGGCAGTCTGTGGGGGGAGGAAGGGCCTCAGCCACCCCCACATGGATCTGCCCGTCTCCCCTCGGGCCCCCACCCTTGGCACCTGCCCCCTGGCCCAGCGGGGCTGCTGGGCACAGCGGGGTCCCCCGGTGGTCACAGGAGTGGGCAGGGGACAGGGACCTGGAGCACAAGGGAGGGGTGTGCCTCCGGGAGGGCCCAGTTGGCAGGGCCTGGGGGGGTGCTGCCAGAGGGTTAGGCTGGGCACCCAGAACCCTGGCGAGGGACCAGGAGCAGGTGACCGGCTGGCTCTGCCCTGCCTCCAGCCACCTGGATCCCTGGGCCCCGGGCCACCCGCAGAGTCCCTCCCGCCTGGGGGGGAGAGGGTGCTGGGCAGCAGTGGCCCCGGGGCTCGGCTGCAGGAGGGCCTCAGGGAAGAGCCTGGGCACCTTAATCCCCACCCCACCCGTGAGGGCGTTTGCAGAGCCCTGTGCACCCACACCTGCCCGGGCTGGTGGGAGCTGCCCCTGAGGCGGGAGGATGTCCTCCAGGCCTGGGAAGGCCACACCCCACACCCGCACCCGCACCCGCACCCGCACCCAGGAACCAGACCACTGAGCACAACGCCCCACTTGGGCTGACAGCTAGGACGAGCCTGAGCTGGGACAGGGTGGGTCCCAGGCCTGGGGCCTTCCAGGGCCCCGATGGGGACTCTGGGACGGAGGACACCCCCCAGGGAACCTTGTCACAAAGACCCAGCCCCTGGGGACCCTCTCCCACCCCACCATGAGCACAGGCACAGTTGGCGAGCGCACACGTGTGCATACACGCACACACACACATGCACACATGCACACACAGGTATGCTGCAGGCCACAGGCAGGGAGGCCCACGGAGCAGCTGGCGTGGCCCCGCCCGGCCCCGGGATCTCCTCTCCACTAATTGGGGGCAGACACGGGTTTGGCTCCGTAATACTTTCCAGACCTCACAGCAGTGGGGAGGGGCATCGTGTCTGTAAAAGTATGTGTGTCATTTCCTGTGGCTCATCCTTGGGGCACCGAAGGCTTTTGACGAAAAAAGGGAAAGAAAGAAAAAGACAGCCAGCGGGAAGGGCTGGGGGCCCTCCCAGTCCCCGCAGACAGCGCCGGGGGCGGCGGGGCGTGAGCTGCACATATGTGTGTGTGTGCGTGTGTGTGCGTGTACATGCTCATGTGCGTGCGCGTGTGCTTGTGTGTGTGCTGTGTGTGCTCATGTGCGTGTATGTGCATGCTTGTGTGTGAGTGTGCGTGTGTGCTCGGTGTGAGTGGGGGTGGGGTGGAGAGGAATCAGGCTCGCGGGTTCCTGTGGCGCTTCCACAGATGGACGTAGACGCATGCGGCCCAGACCTGAGCTCTTCCGAGACGTGGTCGGGCTGGAAAGGGGTCCTGCTGGGGTCCCACATGCCCTGCTGTACCACTGGGACCCATAGCCCTTGGCAGGGTCACCAGTGGCGTCCTGGGACCCCCACAAGGGAGGGACTAGGTCTGGGTGCAGAGGGGACGCCGACCCCTGGCCCCTCCTCTTTCCCCAGAGACGGAAGCTGGGGAGCGGCTCTGACTGAGGGGACGGGCCTGTGGCTGGGGGAGCTCAAGCCGGCTGCCCCGGGCCACGGTCACACCACTCACACCAAGGACCCCCAGCTCCTGCTCCTGCCCACCTGGGGCCATGGACACTGAGGGCGTGTGCCCAGGGAGGGCACCCTGCCGGCGCTGTCACCTCGGCAGCAGCAGCCCCGACACGCGCCCTGAGGGCCCTGCCATCACCTGCACGGCCTGTAAGGGTCCAGCCTCCCGCCTCGCCCACCGCCCTGTGCCACTGACACGGCCCCAGGCCTCGGCCTCCATGGGAGGGCGTCCATCCTGCCCACACCCATGCCCGTGCCCATGCCCGCGCCGCCCGCCCAGGCTGGGCTCCGGGACCCACCCCAGGAGCAGCTGCCTGTCTGGCTGGCTTGGGCCACCCGGGAGGAGTCTGCCCCCAGCTGCAGCACCTACGCACGCACTCAGCACAGTTCCCGTGGGGGGTTGGGGGGGGATGGAGGGGGAGGAAGAGGGAAGGGGGACGGAGCAGTTTGGCACAGGCATCGGCCCTCTGTGGGCAGGGCCCTGGGCACACCCCCAGCCCCAGCCCCAGCACCTCCATCTTCACAGGTGCATGGGGGTGGGTGTAAAGGCAGCACCAGGTGGCACCCCAGGTGGCAGCTCGGTGCCCAGTGCCCAGGTGTGGAACGACCGCACCACCCCCAGACCCCAGGTGCCAGGGACCAGCCGCTCACCTTGGTCACAGTCCTCCCCCTGGAAGCCGGCTGGACACTGCTTCCCACACGCGCCGCTGACGGGGTCACAGGCAGAGCCCGGGGCACAGGCACACGCCTGCTGGCACCCCGGCCCGAAGAAGCCGGGTTCACACTCTGAGGGGCCGAGGAGAGAGGGGCTGTGGGGTTCAGCGGCCCCAGGAGCACCCCCTGCACCTGGGCACCCAGCCCCAGGAGCACCCCATACCCGCCCCCAGGAGCACCCCGCACCTGCCCCCAGGAGCACCCCTCACCCGGCCCCAGGAGCACCCCTCACCCGCCCCCAGAAGCACCCACACCCGGCCCCAGGAGCACCCCTCACCCGGCCCCAGGAGCACCCACACCCGGCCCCAGGAGCACCCCACACCCGGCCCCAGGAGCACCCACACCCGGCCCCAGGAGCACCCCCCACCCGGCCCCAGGAGCACCCCACACCCGGCCCCAGGAGCACCCCATACCTGCCCCCAGAAGCACCCACGCCCGGCCCCAGAAGCACCCACGCCCGGCCCCAGGAGCACCCCATACCCGCTCCCAGGAGCACCCCCCACCTGCCCCCAGGAGCACCCCCCACCCAGCCCCAGGAGCACCCCCCACCCAGCCCCAGAAGCACCCACACCCGCCCCCAGGAACACCCCCACCCGGCCCCAGGAGCACCCACACCCGCCCCCAGGAGCACCCCCCACCCGGCCCCAGGAGCACCCCCCACCCGGCCCCAGAAGCACCCACACCCGCCCCCAGGAACACCCCCACCCGGCCCCAGGAGCACCCACACCCGCCCCCAGGAGCACCCCCCACCCAGCCCCAGGAGCGCCCCCCACCCGGCCCCAGGAGCACCCCCCACCCGGCCCCAGGAGCACCCCCCACCCGGCCCAGGAGCACCCACACCCGGCCCCAGGACCCCCGCTCGGGGCACCGGGCACGCACCGTGCTGGCACCGCGCGCCCCGGAAGCCGGCCTTGCAGGAGCAGCTGCCGTCCCTCCGGTCGCAGGCCCGCGTGTTCTGCCGCTCGCACCGGCACTCCTCCGAGCAGCCCGGCCCGAAGGCCCACGGCGGGCAGGCTGCACCCACAGACATGACGGCCTTCTGCTGTGCCCGCCTCCCCCGATCCTGGTCCCCACACCCCTCGCTGGGCTGTGTCCCTGGGACCCCTCCCCAGCACTGGTGACCCAGGGGCGCCCCACTTCCCAGCTGGGAAACTCTGGGGTCCTGGTGTTCTCCCCTCTGAATAGTCCTTCCACAAAGCGCTTGGCAGAGCTGCTGGGACTGAGCCGCTCAGCGCCGCCCACCTCTCCCCCCAGCCCCCGCCCCTCCCTCCCGGCGTCTGCAGCCCCCTGGGCCCAGGGCCCGTGGTGCCACCAGGAAGCTCCAAAGCCAAGATGATCCTACACCCCAGGAGCTTCTGAGGGAGGCCTGCCACTCCCCCGCCTGAGCTGGGGTCCCCCCAGCCTCACCCCCCAGCCTCACTGCACGTGGCGAACAGGCAATCCCACGCCCGCTGCGGGCGGGAAGGCGCAGCGGCCGCCCCTCGGACACGGGCGCGGGGACAGGGGCTCACCCAGGTGGCAGAAGCGGCCGTACAGCCCCGGGTCGCAGAGGCAGGCCCCGTACAGGCGGTGGCAGCGGCCCCGGTGGGCGCAGTGACACTTCTTCCGGCAGTGCTTGCCGTACAAGCCCTGCGGGCAGCCTGGGGAGCGGGGCCTGTGAGCGCCCACTCGCGATGGCCCCCAGGTCCGAGGAGGCGCCCCGAAGGGCCCAGCGCCCAGCACCGGGGCACGGCCGGTGTCACTGCCCCCCTCCCACGGAAGAAAGGCGGCCAGGAGAGAGCCAGGCGGGCGCTGAGAGGCGCTGCCCTCCCCTCCCGCCCCCCAACTGCACTCACCGTCCTCGCAGTGGGTGCCGCTGACGCCCGGAGGGCAGCGGCAGGCCCCCGTCCTGGGGTCGCAGGTCCCGCCGTTCTGGCAGCTGCAGGCGGAGCTGCAGTTCTTCCCGAAGGCGTCCGGAGGACAGGCTGCAGGGACAGGGGCGCCCAGGTCACGGCCGCAGCAGGGCTCGGCCCAGAGCCCCTCCAGGGGACACTGTGGTCCCCCCTGGGGTTTGAGCCGCTAGTTCAGAAGCAACCGCCCAGAACAACACGCATGACGCTCGTGCCCCTGACGCCCACACGCAGGGCGGAGGTCCCTGGTTGGGGCCACGTGCCGTCGCCGGCATCCACCTTCCCCAGCGGCGCTCTCAGCTGGCAGACGCCCGGGAGGCACTAAGGCCGAGGCCACACCTCCAGGGCCGCCCGGTCTGGGGTCGTGGGGCAGGGCGTGGCGCAGGCTCCGGACAGAGGAGGGAGAGCAGGTGTCCAACGAGCTCCAGCCACCAGCAGGCTGTGGCCTGGGGACCTGCTGCCCCACAGACACAGCAGGACCCCCCCCACCAGGCTTCCTTGTCCTGGAGCCCCGCCCACTGTGAGGGGCAAACGCCTGGCACAGGGCGGCTGGTCAGTAGACACTGAACACGTGAGTGAGTGGGTGGAGGGGAGAGTGGGTGCCCAGTGGACCCTGCCCAGGAAGGAGCACACCCAGGCCCGCCCCCACCGCCCCCCGCACCGCGGCCCCCACAGCCCCCGCACCACGGCCCCCACCGCCCCCCGCACCGCGGCCCCCACAGCCCCCGCACCACGGCCCCCACCGCCCCCCACACCGCGGCCCCCACACCACGGCCCCCACCGCCCCCCGCACCACGGCCCCCACAGCCCCCCGCATCGCGGCCCCCACACCACGGCCCCCCACACCGCGGCCCCCACCACCCCCCACACCGCGGCCCCCACAGCCCCCCGCACCACGGCCCCCACACCACGGCCCCCCACACCGCGGCCCCCACCGCCCCCCACACCGCGGCCCCCAAACCACGGCCCCCACCACCCCCCACACCACGGCCCCCCACCGCCCCCCACACCGCGGCCCCCACCGCCCCCCACACCGCGGCCACCACCGCCCCCCACCGCACCCCACACCGCAGCCCCCACAGCCCCCCACACCGCGGCCCCCACACCACGGCCCCCACACCGTGGCCCCCACCGCGGCCCCCACACCGCGGCCCCCACCGCCCCCCACACCGCAGCCCCCACAGCCCCCCACACCGCGGCCCCCACACCGCAGCCCCCACAGGCCCCCGCACCACGGCCCCCACACGACGGCCCCCACCGCCCCCCACACCACGGCCCGCACCGTGGCCCCCACCGCCCCCGCACGCGGCCCCCGCACGCGGCCTCACTCTCATTGCAGACGAGCCCAGTCCAGCCCGCGGGGCAGTCACAGCCGTCCAGGCCCGGGAGGCAGGCCCCTCCGTTCCCACAGTCAGCGCAGGTCAGGCTGCAGTCGGGGCCGAAGGTGTCGTCCAGACAGACTGCGGGCGAGGGCGAGGGTGAGGGCGAGAGCTCAGACCCGCCAGCTCCAGGGCACAGGGCCAGAGGAGGGGCGCAGGGATGTCCATGAAAGCCCCAGGGCGAGGTGGGAGGCGGGAGAAGACACAGGCCTGGGCGGGGCCTCCCGGGAACTTGGGGCCCGTCTGGCCCAGGCTCGGCCCAGGACACGCTGTGCAGACTCTGCAGGTGGCTGCACCTCTGAGCCGTGGTCTAAGGGCCATGACAGGGGTCCCTCCCCCACACCCAGGTCACAAGGGTCCTCGGGGGCCCTGGCCGCCTCCCCGAGATCCGAAGCCTGGGGACCCTGCTCACCAAACTTCTCCTCCAGGGAGAGGGCGCCCCGGGCCTCGGCCTCCTCCGCCTCCGCGGCCCCCACGTCGTCGTCCTGGAAGAGGTGGGGCAGCCTGTCCGCCAGCACCGACACGTGGGGCAGAGGCCGCACGAAGGGCAGCCGGCCGTTCGGGTCCCCCTCGGGCGCCTCCAGGGCTGCGCGACACAAAGGCCCTGAGCCCCTGCTGCCCCGTCCTCGGGGCCACCGCCCCCCTCAGTACCAGCCCCAGCCCCGGCCCCAGCCCCAGCCCCAGCCCACCCAGGGCCCAACCTGCTTCCCTCCCCCGCCCGCCTGGTCTTGGGGGCTGGGGTCCCAGCTGCTCTCTGACCCTACTTCTCAGGACACAGAAGGCTCCGGGCCCTGAGAGCCTGACCCCCGCTCCAGCCGCTCCCTCCTGGACGTAGGAACGCTGAGCATGGGGGGGGGGGGGGCAGGAGCAGCTCTCCGCCCTCACGGAGGGGTCCCCATGCGATGGGCGCAGACTCACGGGTGCAGCCCCTGCGGTCCTCGTCCAGCCGAAAGCCGGCCGCACAGGAGCACTGGAAGGAGCCGGCCAGGTTGGCGCAGTGGTGCTCACAGCCGCCGAGGCCGGACGCGCACTCGTCCACGTCTGCAGGCAGACCGGGCAGCTGGGCCTTGGGAGGCCCCTCCCGCCCCACTGCCTGCTGGCCCGAGGCCGAGGCTCTGCCTGGGTGACGCCCCCACAGGCATCTCCCCCTTCCCGCCTTCCCCAGGCTCAGCGTGACGTCGGACGCCCGACCAGCGTCCACGACCACAGGCCGAGAAGCCAGCAGGCAGGTCCCTGCAGACGACAGACGCCCAGCCCCCGCCCCTGCCCTGGCCGCTCACCCTCACAGCCGCAGCCGTCGGGGCTGAGCCGGTAGCCGGCGTAGCAGCTGCACTCGTATCCGCCGGGGCTGTTGGTGCAGACCTGCTGGCAGCATGGCGAGTCCGCACAGTCGTCAACGTCTGCGGCACACAGGAGCCCACTGGCACCCGGACACCCCTGTGGGCATGCCCCTCCCACCCGCCAGGGCACACAGGAGCCCGCTGGCACCCGGGGACCCCGTGGGCACCCCCCTCCCACCCGCTAGGGCGCACACACCCACAGGCCCCCACAGGCGCCCCTGTCCTGCACAGACACCCACAGGACAGATGTGTTGGCCACAGGGCCACCCGCTGCTGTGGGGGGGACTGGGGACGGGGGGAGCGGGGACCCTCACATCACAGTGCTGGGTGTCACTCGGGAGCAGGAGGAGCCCCCCGGACTCTGCCCCACTGGCCTGGGCGGAGGGAGCTGTGGGTGTGACAGGCGGGGACCTGGGGGTCAGGGTTGGGGGCGCGGCCTCGGGAGGAGCCGGTTCGCACCGATGCACGTCTTCCCGTCCTCGTGCAGCTCAAAGCCGCGGGGACAGGTGCACAGGGGCCCCGTGCTGCTGTGGCTGCAGCCGTGGGAGCAGCCGCCGTTGCCGGTCTCGCAGCTGTTCACGATCTCCATCTCGATCCCTGAGCGAGACCCACCCAGGGACGTGGGACGGGGCCTGAGTGACCCCCACCCGTCGGGGTGGGCCCTGACCAGCAGCCGGCCAGGGCCCCAGGTCCTCTCTGCTGGGAAAGAGGCAGCAGGGAGCCCTGGGCAGCTGGGCTCCGGCATGGCTGGCCTCCTCATCACCCCCTGCCCTCCCCCATCCCCACCCCCTGTCCTCCCAGGGCCACCCACACCCCACTCCCCACCCCCCACCCCCCACCCCACGCCCAGCACTGTCCTTGACAGCGGAGCTTGGCCAAAGCAAGCTGCTGCCACCACCTCCCTCCCACCCCAGGTGCCCATGCCCACCCCCCGCCCCCGTCCACTCACTGTAGCACTGTCGGCCGTCCGCCCCCAGCTCATAGCCCGCATGGCACACACACTTAAAGGACCCTCGCGTGTTGAGGCAGCCGTGGGCGCACTGGGCCAGCCCTGTGGCACATTCGTCCACGTCTGGATGGGAGACAATGGGGGAGGGCTCTGGGTGCTGGCCCCGAAGATACGCGGCAGGGGCGGTGCCTTGGTGTGAGGGACCTGCCAGGGTCAGGGCTCAGGCCCCTTGTGCCAGGAGGGGCCTCCTCATGCCCGCTCCTGCCTTCCGCTCTGGCTCCAGTTGTGGCTGGCCCCTCTGAGCACCTGCTTTTATCACCCAGCTCTCCCTCCAGAGCCCCCCCGCCCCCACGGCCGGCCCTGCCAGCAGCATGGCAGCGGCTCCACCCCTCTGCGCCCTCCGGCTCTCAGCTGTGCCCTCCCCATCCCATGCTCACCACGCCCCTGCAGGGTGGGCCGGGAGGACCTTAGCACTCCAGCCTCTGGGGCAGCAGGCCCCAAGCCCAGGGTCCCGGCCTCTGCCTGGGTCATGCCCCCGCCCCCCATTCTCAGGATGAAGACGTCTCCCTGAGCCCACCAGTCCCCGCACCCAGAGCTCCCACACCTGCAGGGTCCCCGACGGCCACCCTCCCACGCCGATCCGGCCGGCTGCGGGTCACACGGGGGAGCGGGGACACCCGAAAGCCCCAGGAGGGGCGTCTAACCACCAGCACCACGCAGGCAGCAGGGCCTGCTGCCCCGGTGTGGCGGCTCCTTCTAGGAAGCGTCGCCCGCAGGGTAACAAACCCAGACACCTGAGGCCACAGGGGAGCTGGCCCTGCGCAGGGAGCGCCTCCCTTTCTCTTCCTCTCATCTCTCTAATCAGCAATCTCACTTAGTGACACCAGAAACATCTAAAAACAAAAGCAGCCCTGGCCGGTGTGGGTCAGTGGATAGAGCATCGGCCTGCAGACTGAAGGGTCCTGGGTTCGATTCCGGTCAGGGCACATGCCCAGGTTGTGGGCTCGATCCTGGTGGGGGGCTTGCAGGAGGCAGCTGATCCATGATTCTCTCTCATCATTGATGATTCTCTCTCTCCCTCCCTTCCTCTCTGAAATCAATAAAAATAAGTAAATAAACAAAAACAAAAGCACAGCCTGAAGTCTGCCAACCGCTGCCCAAATGAGGCTCGGGCTGGAAGCAGCCTTGGTGCGGTCCTGCCCCACCGCCCAGCCCCCAGCCCCCGCCGTGCACAGGAGCCGCACCACCCCAGGCTGGCCCTGCGCCCACAGCCGGTGCAGCCGGGAGCCGCTGGACAGGCCCCGGGAGGCCCTCCACAGCGGCCCCAGGCAGCCGCCGGGGACCCTCCACAGCGGCCCCAGGCAGCCGCCGGGGACCCTCCACAGCGGCCCCGGGCGGGGCTGGCCCCCGAGGAGGCGCCTTACCTTCGCAGGCCTTGCGGTCGGCTGCCAGCTGGTAGCCAGCATGGCACCCGCAGTGGGCGAGGCCCCGGAGCGCCTGGCACGTGTGCATGCAGCCGCCGTTCCGGTCCGCACACGGGTTTCTGCCTGCGGCCACCACCCAGAGGAAGAGAGCCAAGGGGAGAGATTAGGGTGGGAGGCTGGGGACCCCGAGGGCTCCAGGCTGCCCCAGGGCCCCGTCCTCCCTGCCGCTGCCCGGGCTCAGGCTGCAGGGTTCCCTCCCGGCCGGCGACACTCACGGACACAGCGCTTGCCGTCCTCCTGCAGCTGGAACTCGGGCCGGCACTGGCAGCGGTGCTGTGTCACCGTGAGCTGCACGCAGTCGTGCTGGCAGCCGCCGTTGCCCACGGCGCAGAAGCTGATGGCTGGGGGCGCAGAGAGCCCAGGTCAGCCCAGGACGGGAGACCCAGGGGCCCGCGGAGCAGGCGGTGGTGCGACCTCAGGGCCACTCTGAGCCCCTCCTTCCCACCGCCATCCCAGAGGCCGGGGCTCCGAGAGGGCAACGCCGCCTATCTGGTTCCCGGGGGCCCCTTCTCGGCCCACACGCAGGGGCTGTGGGGAGCAGTCCGTCTCTGGGTGCTCTGACCCCACCGGCCCGAGGACTGGCCTCTCAGGGGAAGCCAGGCGCCACCCAGCACCCGTGGGAGCCAGGGTGTCCAGGGTTCTGAGGCAGAGCAGGCCAGGAGGCTCCCTGGAGGAGGTGGCAGGCCAGCAGGGGTGGTGGAGGCCCAGACATTTCACTATCTTGGTCATCGGGCCAGGCGTGGGGTGGCCGTGGACAGCCGCCGTGGACAGCAGTCATGGCCCACAGGCCTGGCCCCTGGTTCCTGACAGACCAGTGCACCTCCTGCCCCCCCCAGCCAGGGCCCCACTCGAAACCTGAGCTCATAAAGTGCCCGCCCCTCCAGCGGCTGAGGGGACAGCACAGGGAAAGGCCACAGAACACGGGACCCCAGGCCCAGGCCCAGGACAACCTTGGTCCAGGCCTCCGTGAGGCGCCCACAGGGAGAGGCTCAGCCGGGCCGGGCGGACCGAGCGGTGCTGGGTACTAGGTGGCCGGGCCCGGGGGAGGTGCTGAGCGGGCCGGGTGCCCAGGGCGGCAGGGGCCTCTGGCAGCTCCATGGAGTCTCTGGTAGTGGCCTCGTGGTTAGGGAGGCGTCGGCAAACCCACAGGAACTCGGCGCCTGTGTGCCGGCGCGGGGCCCGGAGCAGGTCTGGGGCTGCGGGGGCCAGGGCTTCACCCCGAGACGCCCTGCAAGTCTGGGGGCCAGGCACACGCGCCTGGCACCGCGGGGGCAGAGCACCGAGGCCAGGGGAGCGGCTGCACGCGGAGCACGTGAGTGGCCTTGGCGCCCAGGGAGGCCCCGGCCACGCCGTCTACCAACAGCAAAGCTCCCTTCAAAGCAAGTGTGTTTGAAACAAGCCAAACACGGCACTCGGGACATGGCCGCTCCCCACGCGGGGCGAGAGGGTGGGCGCCTGCGCTGAAGGTCCCTAGGGGCCAAGCCAGCCCCGGATGCAGAGGAGGGCGCAGGGGGGGGGGGGGGGCGGCCTGGCAGAAACGGCTCTGTCCCATTCATAGCTGGCCTGCGCCTCTTCCCCACCCACCCACCCACCCACCCCCGACTCTGCCCAGACCCCCAGGACCCGCCTGCCTCACCTGAGACAGCTCTGCGCAAGCACCCCCTCCCCGAGGTTTCCGAGCGTGGCCTGGGCAGCCCGCCTGGCTCTGCCTTCCCAGCACCAGGACGCCTAATAGGAACCAGAGCGCGTCGCTGGCAGGCATGAGGCTCACCGAGACGGGGGCCGGGAGCCCAGGCGGGGGCCGGGGCAGAGCTGGGGGAGGTCCTCCAGGCAGCAGAGCGCCCCGGACGGGCCCAGAGGCCGTCAGCACTGAGCCCACCAGGGTCCAGGGGGAGGAATCACAGGCAGGTGGGCGCAGGTGGAGGGGGTCCAGGTCCCTGTGCAGCCTCACACCCCCCCCCAGCCCCCCGAGCCCCACGCTGCTGCACGCGCTCTAACGTTCCAGAGGCTCCGGGCTGCGCCAGGAGGCAGCCGAGCCCAGTGCCGCTCGCACAGCCTGAGCCAGGACCAGAGGCTGAGCCGGCACATCCCTCGGGCACAGGGCTGTGCACTCAGGGCAGGGCCAGCCACGTGTGAGCAGCGTCCAGAGCTGGTGCTGACGTTCCCGGCCCCTGGAGTCACCCATGTCCCAGGGACCCCTGCCTGGGAAGTCCTGCAAGTCAGGACCACACTCCAGCCTGGCCGGTGGGGCTCAGTGGCTGAGCGCCACCATATGAACCAGGAGCTCACGGCTTGATTCCCGGTCAGGGCACATGCCCGGGTTGCAGGCTCGATCCCCGGTGTGGGGCGTGTCACATGGTTCTCTCTCATCATTGATGTTTCTGTCTCTCTCTCCCTCTCCCTTTCTTTCTGAAATCAATAGAAATATATTTTTACAAAACACACTCAGGCCTGAGGCAAAGCTGAGAGCCCATCAGAAGACAGGAGGTGCCTGGCCAGTGTGGCTCAGTCGGTTGCACTGAAACATCGCCGGTTTGATTCCTGGTCGAGGCGCATACCCTGGTTGTGGGTTTAGTCCTGGTCAGGATGCTTACATGCAACCAATCCATGCAACCAATCCATGTCTGTCTGTCTGTCTGTCTCTCTCTCTCCCTCTCCCTTCCCCTCTAAAATCAATAAAAAACATATTAAAAAGAAAAAATGAAGATAGAAGGCTAGGGGGCTCTCCCACCCCTAAAATTCAACCCCCAATGTGACTCTATTGGGAGGTAGGCCTTTCATGGAGGTAATTAAGGCTAAATGTGGTCATACGGGCAGAGCCCTGGTCCAATAGGATTTGGGTCCTTATAAGAAGACACACGAGATCTCTCCGTCTCCCCTTCTCTCTGTCTCCTGTCCTCATATGAGGACACAGCGAGAGGGCAGCCAGGAAGCGGGCTCTCTACCAGGACTGACCTGGATCTGAAACTTCCAGCCTCCAGGACGATGAGAAAATTAAGGTCTGTTGTTTAAACCCCACAGTCGGTGGTATTTGTTACAGCCGCCTGAGCTGACTGATACACCCTCATTCCCCAGCGTGCACACTGTGCACACTCCAGGACACGGGGCTTCCGCCAGGGGACTGCAGGTCCTAATAGAGCTGGGCTGCAACCCCGCCTTCTGCCAGCAGGGGCCACCCTACTCGGGAGCCTCAGGTGTGAGGCCTGGAGAGCCGCAAGGGAACAGAACCTCACCTGAGCAGGAAACTGGGCGTCTAGAAAACAAGTGTCACACAAGGTGGGGGCCCCCTCTGCCAGCGATCTCCCAGCTAGGGGTGCAGGTGGCAGCACCTGAGAGCTGGGCACGGATTCAGGCTGGAGCCCAGGGTCAGGTGCACCAGAGTGCCATGGAGGAAGGGCTGCGGATGGCCGCTGTGAGTGGCCGGCCTCAAGGATGGCTCCGCCAGCAAGGCCCTGGCCCCCAGGCCTGGCACAAGGCCAGCCCGAGTGGTCAGCTGGGGGCTGTGAGGCAGGCTGGCTGGGGGAGAGCCCGCCAATGGTGGCCAAGCCCCAGCTCCCCCTGAGGCAGCCTCCACCAGCTGGCTGTCTCAGGACTGGCTTCCTGGGGTTCCGTAATTACTGCCCTCAGACTGGCTGGGCTGCTAGACCCCAGCGCCTCAGCCCACGTGTGGTCACATGTGTGGTCAGCGGCCATCCGCAGCCCTTCCTCCCGGGAAGCCCTGCTGGGGGCAGGGCCAGGAGGGCAGGACCGGGAGGGTGGATGCCAGCTGGGCCAGGAGGAGAGAGTCACTGGGCTTTGCCCGCCCCCTCGCCCCCACCCTGGCAGCTTGGGGTCACTCGCTGTTCAGCCCTGTGTGTCCTGCCCGTCCCCCCTCCGATGGGGCCTCGGCACTACACAGGACACGATGCCCTTACAGGCGTGTACACGGCCGCCGGAGCCACATTCCAGGGCCACGAGCAGGGGTGGCACCAGCCCCACGTCACAGACTGCACGCCGGCCAGCGGGACCCTGCGGCTCAGTCCCCAGAGAAAGCACGGGGGACAGGCCACCCCGTCCCAAAGCAGCAGCCCACGGCCACTCTTAGAGGCCGCGATGGGTCCCCCCGAAGTCCCAAAGGGCACCTCCCCTCTGCAGGCTGCTGGCCTATCACCCCCGCCAGTGTCTCCTGGAGGCCCCCGTCAGCGCAGGTGGGGAGAAGAGGGGACGGGAGGGTGTGTCCCAGACGCAGGCCCCTCACGGGGGAGCCACGGCAGGGAGGGGCCAGTGGGTGTCCACCAGGCCTGGCCCCACAGGCGCCTCCTCCAAGGAGAACCTGCCCGAGGGGCATGGGGAGGACATCGGGGAGACCTGGGCCCCTAGGACGAAGAGCGCGTGGCATGGCCCCCGAAGCCCTCCCGCCCCCGGGCAGCAGCTGGGGCCGCGCCACGGGGGTATCTGAAGGCGCCACACACCACAGCATTCCTGCATCTGTTTCCACTTTCCGACCAGGAAACTTTACGGGCAGCAGCCTCGCTCCCAGCAGCAGCCTGGACATGTGAGTGCGCGGGGGGCCCCCCCGGGGCTGGCAGGCCGCCTGCCACACGGCAGCCAGGCACGCAGGAAGTGGCCCTCAGAGCCCACCCCGGCCACGCGGTCGCCAGGGTGGAAAGAAGGGGCATCTCGCTCCCTGCCCCAGAGGACGACCCCTCGGGGCCTCACAGACAGTGGCCAGCGGGGAGGGGTCAGCCCTGTGCCCGCAGCACCTGTGTCCAGGGCCAGCCGGGAGGGGTCGGGAGGAGGAGGGGGGAGGGGAGGGGGACCAGGGGAGGGCCCTGACCGCTCAACACCAGGCTCCTGGCCTCCAGTCCCTCACCCTCTACCTCAATGGGTGCCTGGTGCTCTCCCCTTCACCCCTTCTCTCCCTGTAACCCTCCCGAACTGGCAGGGGCCACAGTCTGGGGCCAGGCACCTCCGCGGCCCCTTCCCCATGGGTCTGTTCCCACAGCAAAGAGCCCGCAGAGGAACGGGGGTCAGGATCCCACGGCTCAGTATCTCCGCCTGAGACAGTGCACCCCCGGGCTCTTGGGGCCCTGGAAGCCCAGCCTGCCTGCCCCCACACCCCAACTCCCAGGCCCCCAGACCAGCCTCCCACGGCCCCGCTTGTATCTGAGTCTCCCGGAGTTCAGGGCAGCATGGCCAGCCTTGGTCCCCACTGACGGGCCACAGTGGCTTCTGCTGCAGCCCAGGGCCCCTCCCAAGTCACGAGAGCACGCCCCCTCCAGGGAGACCACTGGGCCTCCCAGCCCGCTCAGGTGTGGCTGTAGACGGTCCAAGGCCCCGGGTCACAGGGTCCTGCCCATGGGGGAGCCGGGTCCTGGGGACCTGACGGAGCCTGGACTCTCATGGGGGTGGGGCTGGAAGGACCGTGGCCGGCCGGGCCGGGCCCCTCGGCCTCCCACAGGCCGCGGGAGGGGCCCTATAACAGCGCTGTCCCCGAGCCAGGCCCCGTCCGCCTCTCAGCCCAGGGCAGGGACCCGGCCCTGGCCCAGACCTGGGCGGACCCAGCAGGGTGGGGACCAGCGAGGCCAGGAGCTGGGCAGGAGGGGCACTGGGCCCAGGGGAGCTCACCCAGGCAGGTCCTGCCGTCCACGTGGAGCCGGAAGCCGGGTTTGCACTCGCACAGGTAGGAGCCGGGCGTGTTCACACACCTGTGGTGGCAGCCGCCATTGTGTAGCTGGCACTCATCCACATCTGGGGCACAATGGGTCGAGGGTTAACAGCCAGTACCCACCCGGCTGCCCCCCGATCTCCGAACGCCCCTCACTAAGGGCCCCAGACCCTCCGTCTCCAGCCACGCCTGCAGCCCGCCCCTCACCGGCTCTGGCCAGGCAGAGAGAAGAGAAGGTGGGCCTGTCCCCCATGCCTGGCTGGAGGAGCGGCACCCCGACCTGCGGGGTCAGCCGGAACACGGGGAGCAGACGTTGGGCCAAGGCAGAGGCTGAAGAGGGAGCAGCAGGGTGGAGAGCCCCTCCCAGGACTGGGGGCCCGGGCTGCACCTCATGAGGGCCCCCTCTTTCTGCAGGAATGCAGACATGTGGGGGCTCCACTGCCCTCGCCTCTCACCCTCCCTCAAGCCCACTCCTGCCCAGCTGGGCCTCGGGGAAGCCAGGCAGCAACTGGGACAGAAGGACGGGAGGTGGCACCAGGCGGCACGGGCACCAGGGTGTGGGGCTGAGCCTGGAGGGACCCGCCTGCCCCAGGGACACGGCGAGAGGGAGGAAGGAGGCCTCTGCTCAGACAACAGGGAAGCAGCAGGGCCTGGAGCGCGGGCACCGGCCCCTCAGGCCAGAGCAGCCTGGGAGGCTGCCAGGAGGCGCCGTCCAGGGAACACCCACAGATGCTCCTCACTCCTGCGGGTCTCCCAGCCGCGCACCAGCAGCCCGGGGACCCTGCCCAGGACAAGAGGCCCTGACTGCTGCCGGCCTGGCCAGGGAAGGCCACAGTGGCTGTGCGGCCCCATCAGGAGGAAAAGTGATTTGGGGGCGAGTCCTCAGCTGCGGGGAAACCTCGGCGCCAGACAACACGCTCTCCGTGGCTGCAGAGCGAGGTTCCCCCTCATTCTGCCCGATGATCCACAGAGCCATGCCCGCCGCCCTCCAGCACCACCAGGAAACGCCGCCCCTCACAAACACACACACACACACACACACACACACACACACACACACACCCGCTCCCATCCCCGAGCTGCAGCCGCCTGAGCAGACCTGGGAGGTGACACCGGGGAAGAGTCCCCCTGCCATCCCTGAGGCCCCCCGGCTGTGCTTCCCCCACATGGACCTGCCACTGGTCCACGCACTAAGAATGTGCCTGGTGCCCCAGGAACTACACGCAGAACCCAGGGTCTCTGCCGGGGCCTCAGGACCCTCTGCTCCGGGGAGCCCCCAGGCCCCTCCCAGGCCCCTCAGAGAGGAGGGCAGGGGCGGCCACAGCCTCTCCGCCAGCACCAGGTGACCCGGGGCGTCCTCGGACAAAGCCAGGAGGACGCGCAGGGAGGAGCTGAGAGGCAAGAAGTTAATGGCCCCAAAAGAGGCTGGGGCGCAGAGGGAACTGGTGTGGTGGGAGGTCTCAGGCCTAGGGCTCCGTGGGAAGTCAGCCCGGGCAGTGGGCAGAGGGCTGACCCACGCCCGTGGGGCAGGGCGGCGGGAAGCACTGGGTGCGGGAGGTGCTTTGGGGGAAGGGGTGCCTCGCGTGTTGTCTGAGGGGTGGGCAGGCGGGTGGAGCCGGGATAGGACACTGATGTGCCCTGATATGACCCCCGGAGGCCGGTGCTGGGCAAGCAGGCGGCGGGGATGCTGGCGAAGTCATGTGTCCCCCTCCCCAACCCGGACTCCCTCCAGCTGCTCGGCCAAGGAGAGGCTGGCCCAGGTGGCATCGCACCCGTCCCAGGGCAGACTGAGGCCTGCAGACACCTGGCCGGGCCGAGCCTGCCCTGGGGCCGCATCCACGGGCAGCTCCCCGGCAGGTCTGCACCACCGTCCAGGACACGCAGGGGGCCAGGAGGAGCCAACCCAGCAGCCCCACGGCCCAAGGACACCAAACTGACCACAGTCTGGGCAGAAGAGGTGGGGGTGGGGCCGGCTCAGCCCTATGGCCCTGAGGGCCAGCCTCCCTCCTGGCCTCACCTGCCGCCCGCAGGACCAGCTCTTCTGCGCCTGCTGCGTGGAGGGAACACGTGGACTCCGGCATCTGCTTCCAGCCCAGCCTCTCGGACACCCCACTCCGGCCCTGCCCACCCCCAAAGAGGCACTGCGGGCAGTCGGGGACCTGCCTGGCCCTCCAGCCCGGGCCCCGCCGCCATGCCCTGGGCCGCTGAAGTCTCAGAGTGCGCTGGCGGCCGCGGGCCAGTCCGAGGGCAGTAAGGACCCGTTGGGCCGGGCTCTGCGGGCCGTCCATGGCCCTCTGACTGCCCTCAGCTGACAGACGTGACGGAGGACTCTGGCAGCCCAGGCATGCCACACACACTGGAGCAGTGACATCACTGCCGGCACTGGGCTGGGTCCCCGGGGAGCCCTCTGGCCCTGTGGTGTCTGCAGAGCTGGGGGAACAAATGGCCGTGCCCCGGGGAGCCCATCGTGAGGCTGTGGGGGGCCCATAGGGTCTCTATCAACCGTCACCCATCACACCAGCTCCCGCCCAGGAGCCCACAGCCAAGGGGGAACCAGCTGCCCCGACAAAAACCACCCAAACAAGCCTGTGCTGAAGCCCCGGGGTTCAGGGACCGAGCCCAGTCAGCGTCAGCGGTTAGCAAGTCCTGCTCCCTCCACACGCCACAGGCCTCACCCCGGGGGAGTGCACCCCCTATCCCAGGGCCGGTCCCCTCTCCCTCACAAGCCCAAGCAGGTCCCGTGGCAGGGCCTCCCCTAAGCCCAGCCCCGCCCAGCCCCACACTGCATGCTACAGTCTCATGGCAGCCAGTGCCACCCGTGGCCCGGCCCGGGGACCTCGTGGGGACGGAGCCTGCCCCCGCTGGCAGAGTGGCACAGCCAGGAGAGGCAGATGAGCTTGCAGCTCGGGGCTCTGTGTGCCCTCTGGTACGGAGAGGGCAGGGAATGCCGACCTGGGGACTGGAGGGCCCGCAGCCCACCCCACCCCCACCCCATCCCTGGCTCCCAGCTCCCAGGAGCTCCCTGAGGGGAAGCTGGCCTCATGGGGGCCAGACCTGAGCTTCCGGGAGGGGGCAGGGTGCCCCCACTTCCCCTGGGCTGCTGACCCTTCAGCTCACTGGGCTCGGAGGGGTGGGGGAGGGAAGGGGACAGCACCTGCTACCTCCACAGGGGAACCCTGGGCCGGCACAGAGAACCCTGGACCTGAGCCTGCATCTGGATGAACCCCAGAGCTGCCAGTGGGGCCCCTCGCAAAGGCTGGGCTGTCCTTCCCTCTGGCCAGGCGGCCACCCCGCGGTCAGCAGCCCGCAGCCCACCAGGAGGGCAGGAATGTCTGTGGACTGGGCACTGGCCTGCCCGCCCCGCTCTCCTGCCCTCGGGACAGCCCCGCGCAAACTTTAAAAAGAGGCAACAAAGGCAGCACATGGAGCGGGGCGCCCGCACCCGCACCCACCCTCATCCTGAACCCGTCCCGCCGCCCTGCGCAGAGCCCGCCCGGCACCCACCTGGTCTCCGGTCCCCGGCGCTCAGGGGGTAGCCGACCTGGCCCAGGTGGCACGGGTAGCAGCTCCTCCAAAAGTAGCGGTAGTGCGTGCCCGCCACGCGCGCCAGGCCCCCCAGGAGCCCGAGGCACCAGAGCGCGGCCAGACCGCTGCGGCGCTGGGACACCCCCATGGCGATGCTGCACTGGGGGGAGGGCTCGGCTCCGGCTCCCGGCTCCCCACTCCCCGCTCCCCGCTCCCCGCTCAGCGCTCCCCGCTCAGCGCCCGCACAAGCAGCCGAGCCTCCGGCTCCGGCTCCGCTGGGCGCCACCAGGAGCCGCTCCGCCCAGCCTCCCCGCCCCTCGCCTTTTAAGTTCTCAGCTTTCCCTCCACCCCTCCACCCCTCCCTCCCCCATTCCCCCACCCCCACCCCCCACAGGTAAAGGCCAAATCCTAGGCGCTGAGGGTCCGCCCCCCGTCCCGCCCTCGCCCCCAGAGCAGCGCGGGTCCCCCAGGCTCGCAGCCCGCGGCGCATTCCTCCGCGGAGTCCCCGCACTGGGACAGCCCCGCGCACAAACGCAGGCACCCAGGCCCCAGCCAACACTCAGACACATGTGTGCACACAGACCCACGTGTGCAAACATGCACGCGAGACAGAGCCCCGCAGACAGGCACATACAGACGCACAGTCGCGCGTTCCCAGTGCCAACAAGGGGAGAACTGGAAGCAGAAGAGGCCGCCCTTGCAAAGCCCCGGCTTCCAGAGGAGCTTCATGGGGTTCTGTTCTGACAGGTTGGGGGGTGGGGCTGGGAGCAGCAGGCCCTTCGGGGCCACCCACCAAAGTGGAAATCTTGGGGGTGAAGATGCCTGTAGCCCCCACGACAGGTGTCCCCCACTTGGCACTGCCATGCTCTCCACTAGCCCAGGGCCTCGCCCACAGGGCCCAGGCAGGTAGGTACCCAGAGGGATCAGGGCTGTGCCCCCAGGGAGCCTAGCAGGGTCTGGCCACACCCTCCAGAACCACGGTAGCCTGGCTAGCGGGGACCAGCCCACCCCTCGCCCCCACCCCGTGTTGGGCTGGGAAAGCCCTGGACACGCCTCTAACCCCAGACCCCTGGCCCCATGTTACCCAAGGGCACAGGCCTAGGCCCCAGCTCTGTCCAGAATGGCCCTCCCCTGGGTCATCAGAGCCATAGCCGCTGGGCATCCGTGGGGGGCCCTGGCCTGCAGCCCGAAATCCTGTGCAGCCCGGCGGCCGCTGGTGCCCCACCTTGACCCGCCAGGCCTGTCCCGCCTCAGAAGCTGCTTGACACAGGCCCCGCTGCAGTCACTCTGCACCCCTTTTGTATCCACCTGGACTGCAACCCACATCCCGGCCTGAGAGGGGTCCCTCACTCCCAGGGCCCGTCCCAGGGTCAGGCGGGCTGCTCCGCTGCTCCGGGGCCCTGTCCTCAGCGCCCAGCAGAGGGCAGGGCTGGGGACGAGCAGGCACAGTCTGGGAGCACAAACAGGTCCCAGGACCCCGCGGCGCCTCAGTTTCCTCATCCGTACAGCGGGCAGGGGCCAGACTAGGCCAGCTGGGGGGCCATGGCCTGCCGCCATG